GCCCGTGAACTGAGCGGAGGGAAGGCGACTCCTAGGTATTTAACGGGCCCGTGGCAGGTCCCGGGGCCCGCGCGCCCAGTCCCCAGGTGCAGCCAGTCCTCACGGGCCTGGAGCGGTGGACTTCGGTCTAAAGCCAGCCTCTTCCGCCCGTGGGCACAGAGGGTCCTCGGGAGCTCGGCCCTGCGCGTGGGCTTCTCCGGGAATCGGGTTCCGGAGGCGTGGAGAGGCCTGGAGGTTGCAGGGGAAGGCGGGTGTTCCAGGGGCTTCGGCGCGTCCCGGGTGACTGCCGGCCAACATCTAGGCTTCCCGTGCTCGCGGAGAGCTTTGATGGACTCTCGGAGCCGGCGTTCGCCCCCTCGGCCGTTTCCACACCCACGGCAGGTGGACTGTCTGGCAGCCGAAGCGCGGTCGTTTTTGAGAGTAGCCATCCCCGTGTCAGTTAGAATAGCTCGATATTCGCAAAGGGCAAAGGTTGGCGGGCCAAGGCTTCATATTTCCTTTGAAGGAGATTACATCAAAGTGCGTTTGGGCACTTAGGTTAAGACCTCGGACGCACCGGAACTTTCCGAAAGGTTCAGTGTAAAGTGGGGGAAGACGGGGAGAAGGCCCCTTGTTCCAGCCGCAGGATACGTTCACGTTTTGCTCCCTGCGCCCCAAGCCCGGTTTGCCACCTCTGTTTACTGTGTGTATCTGCAGACTCGTCTGCACACCGCCCTCCATAGCGTCCTCTCCGCCTTTCCCAGCTTCTCCCAGTTCCTCTTTGCAGAGGGGTCACCTCGTTGGTGGGTGTCTGTGACGGGGTTACCGGCCGCCCCGCACCGTGCCCTGCGCACCAACCCGGTGATTGCTCTCCGTGGATAGGCACTGAAGACGGTCCTGTGCTCCGCACCAGCTCTCGAGTGTACTCAGGCAGCATGCAGCGGGCGCTCAGTGCGGCTCAGTGTTGGATTACAGGGTGCAGCTGAATTTTCCCGTGGCAAAGGCTGAACAGGATGGAGAATTTGAGAATGAGGACGACCGTTCCTAAGCCGCTCAGGCGCCGAGTTTCACCAGTCCAGACCTCAGAACCACCGGCCAGAAGGGAGGGGAGGACTCTCTATGTCCACAAGAGAGAGAGAAAATTTAGAATTTAGCCCTAAAGTGGTGAAATGATGTTTGTGTGTTGATCTTTGTGAGAAGTGGAAACTCTAACTTTGGGATAAAAAGGAAATCTGGCTAATATGAAAGTCATTCTCTAATCTGCCAGTCCTTCATTATTTAAAAAATAGTAAGTTTTGAGTACTTCTGTAAGTGTGGAGATACAACGTTTATGTGTTTTCTAATTGCGAGAGGCCTGTGTGTTCACCAGACAGAAAAAGCAAGCCCCCACCGCACTGGGGCACGGCTCTACCTTTACTGTCTTTGTCGTTCATTTTTCCATCCCGACAAGAATTCCAGTGTATGGCATGTGCCCAGCATGTCTTAGAAGCCATGAGGGCCGGGATTGGAACTGCAGACAGCCCTGTGGGGTCTGCTTCCCTGTGCCCAGGGTTTAACTGCTGTACTAAGGGGCCAGCCTGCAACTTTGCCTTCTTTGTGTTCTCTAACCAAGCAGTTTGGGAGCTGGAATCTCTGTTCTTATCCCTCCTCTGGCTCTTCCTGCCCAGGCTTGCCGTCCGAGGTTTGCAAAGTGGCCCCTGGGC